TTTGCCCGTCTTTTTGTGGATGATACGCCGTACTAAACCGAATTTGAGATCTCATTGCTTTCTGAAAGCTTCCCCATAATCTCAGGCTATCCCTATCTGAAATTATTGACAACGGGACACCATGTCGAGTCACGATTTCATCACTATAAACTCTCGTAAGTCTTTCTAATGGATATGCCTCTGTAATTGGTAGAAAGTGTGCAGACTTAGGCAAATGATCCACAATAACCCAGATAACATCATACTTTTTAGGAGTTCATGGTAGCTTCGTTATGAAATCTATCGTTATATGATCCCATTTCCATATTGCAAATTTCTATAGAGTTGTTGATGTTCTATCTTCACTTGTAAACACGTCAGACATCATTTTACATATTGTGCAATATCCTTTTTCATCCTCGATCACTAGTGAAATGGTTTCAAATCTCTGTACATCTTGTTAATACCCCGAGTGAATCGAATATAAAGACTTGTAATTTTCATCCAATATCATCTTTTGGTTGCTACCAAAATAAGGTACCCAAATTATACCTTCAAAGCATAGAATTCCACGATCTTCTTTTACCAAGTTTACTAACATTCCTCCAATTCTTTCTGCTTTTACGTTTTCTCTTTCACGGCTTCATTCTGACTTCTCAAAATCTCATCAAGAATGTTAGGGATTACATTAGCTCGCAAGGCAATAGCTTTGATGGCTCCACTCTTTTCTTTTCTACTGAATGCGTCAGCCACCACATTCGCCTTTCTTGGATGATAAAGAATCTCACAGTCATAATCATTCACCAATTCTATCCATTATTTTTGTCTCATATTTAACTCTTTTTAATTGAACAGATGTTGAAGACTTTTGTGATATGTATAAATCTGACATTTAATTCCCAACAGATAATATCTCCAAATCTTCAAGGCAAAAACAACAACTGCAAGTTCCATATCATGAGTAGGGTACTGTTTTTCATGATCTTTCAGTTGTCTAGAAGCATAAGCAATGACTTTTCCCCGTCGCATCAAAAAACAACCCATGACCAACTTTGAAGCATTACTATAAACCACAAAATCTTCTGTCCCTTCTAGTAATGACAGTATTGGTGCACTGCACAATCTGTCTTTCAAAACTGGAAGGCTTTCGCTTGCTCTTCTTCCCATTCATACCTTACATTCTTCCTCATCAATTTTGTCAATGGTGCCGCGATACGTGAGAAGTCTTGTATAAACTTCCGATAATACCTGGCCAAACCCAGAAAATTTTGTATCTATGTAAGCGTTCGCGTTGTCTCCCATTTATCTATAGCTTCTATTTTCATTTGATCAACTTTAACACCTGTTTTTGAAACTACATGACCCAAGAATTGAACTTCGGTCAACCAAAATCCACCTTTTGACAGTTTAACATATAATTTTTCTCTCTTCAAAGTTCCAGAATTAAATGAAGAAATTGAGGGAAAGGAAGGGTTCACCAAGGGGGAAGGGAAAGGGCAGGGACGGAGGTGGGTTTATCAGGGGTTCAACCTTGATGGGAGGGGAAGGGGGAGAGATGGAATACAACAGCAAAAGAAAGCGGTCTATTGTGGTAATTTTAGAAGCTTGATAAAGAAAGTAGGTTTGACCCATTAGGATTTAGTGTTGGCATAAAGAACTTGTACATTGTGTATAATAATTTGTAATTAAGAGATTTTTGAATTTTGTAACAACCCACATATTCTATGTACTGATAATCCACATCATCATACTCATAACACAAAATATAACATCGTTTACAAAATACAGATTAACAAAATACTTTCTTGATATACATTTATAAATAACTAAACGTCATTCATTCTAAACTTTTCCCTTGCCTTTATCTTGCGAGGTATGATGACCTGCAAAACATGTTAGTCCAACAACTGAGCGTTAGACCAAAAAGGTCTAGTGAGTATATAATTCTCAAACAAACAATATACTTTCCAAACAATCAGTTCAGAATCAAACATGTTCTGACACATAAATTTATTTATGTCTCTCGCGGTTACACCGCCATTACATCTCTCTCGCGGTTACACCGCCATTTCATCTCTCTCTCTCTCTCGCGGTTACACCGCCATTTCATCTCTCTCGCGGTTACACCGCCATTACATCTTTCTCTCGCGGTTACACCGCCATTACATCTTTCTCGCGGTTACACCGCCATTTCATCTCTCTCGCGGTTACACCGCCATTTCATCTCTCTCGCGGTTACACCGCCATTATATCTCAAAAACACTTCAAAAATATTTCAACACATTAACCGGATTTGAAGTCCGGTCAACCTTGTCCGGTTAACACTTAAAATTATTTCTAACATATTTGTCCGGATAACCAATCCGGACAATACACCTCCAAAAGCTTAACCAATTTAACACTTAGAAATATTTCAATTTCTATCCGGATAAGAGTCCGGACAATACATTGCCCAACCTTTGACCGGTTTAAAACAATCCGGTCAACACACCGCCAAACTCTTGAACGGTTTAGATGAGATCCGGTCACCTCTTGACCGGTTTATGGAGGACTCCGGACAACACTTGAGCGGTTTAAAATAAACCGGTCACCTCTTGAGCGGTTTTCTATCCGGATGAGATTGTCCGGATATTAATCCGGACACCACTTGAACGGTTTAAATAAGAATCCATATAAAATGAAACAAAATTCATAATAACCAGTTCCAAATACTATTAAATTGTATGTAAACAATTTATATCCAAAGCTTTAATACACTCACCTTTGATTATGAATTTTGACTTCAAATTTGCAAAATCCTCTTTCAGTCTTTACTCTCAATTGATTTTGCTCTCCAGATGTATTCAACAATTAACTTCTAAAAGGCAAAAATTATTCTTCCCTTTTCACATACACTTGCTATAAATAGCAAGTGTATGGCCGACTCCAAAAGTCGGCTAACACCCCCTTATTCACACAATTATATATATATATATATATATAAAATATCTTAATTTGAAACTTGTAACTCGAATATTACAAATTTCTTGCATAAAATGGTAGTAATCTATGCTTTAAGAGTTGTAATTAAGATTTTGGTGTAAATGGTTATTAATGTACTATAGATATATTTTATATATAACGATATCAAAATAAATGATATTATTGTATTATTTGATTTGTTAAATTTAAAAAAAAAATAGTTTTATTAGATACGATTTAATTTTATTGAAAAAAAGTATGGTTTTATTATTTTAATGTAATTAATATTTTAATTTAAACAAATCAAATCATAAATCCATATATTGTTTTATTTAGAGCGAATAACATAAGAAATAGTTTTATGATTTGATTTGTTTAATTTAAAAACTTAATTATGTTAAAGACGATTTAATCTTATTGTTCTTTTTCTGTCACTGCAATAAACAAGCTTTATTACCGATATTTTTACCATCAAAATCATTGAAAAGCACTAAGAAATGAACCCCGATTTTATCATCCTAAAATTAGGGTTTCTAATTTGAATATTGTTTTTCATTCAAAAACTCAAAATAAACTATTTAGATTTTAATCAAATAAAAGATTAATACATATTATCATCTTAGTAACTTAAAATTGAACAAATTCCTAATAAACTTTTACCAAATTTTCATACCCAAATAGGCAAAAATACTAAAACAATAAAATAAATCGTATTTAATATAATTAATTTTTCAATTTAAACAAATCAAATCATAAAATAATATCTTATTTTATTCATTTTGACATCATTATACACACATATAAATATATAGAAATTGAGATAATGTGAGACCAACCTGTTTTTATGAGACATGAAAGACCATTTTTTTACACTTAAACTTCACAATGAAAACACTGTGAAAGTAACCTTCACAACGTTTTTGTTGTGAAGGTTCGAAGTTTTTTTTTTTACCTTCACAACGTCTCGCCGTACAATTTCAAATGTAAAAAATATGGTCTCACGAAAACATGTTGGTCTTACGTAAACTCAACCCTAATATAAATATATGTGTGTGTGCGTGCCCATAAAAACTTGTTTTCACTTTTTTACAGGAAAAAGATAAAATAATAGACAAAAAGACTAAAATGACCCTTGATTTAACAAAGTTAACGAAAATATTAATCAAAAGGATCATGACCAAAACAAATTGAATACCAAAAAGACTAAATCTACAACAAACATACGATAGGAACCCTCGTAAAAAACAATATCAAAACACAAGAATCAAATCCCCAATTCACTCTTTCCACATAAAATAAGGTGGGACTAAAAACTGTTTTTGTAGGAGTGATATGTGAAGCAACCAATAGATCAAGAAGCAAATAGGTCTAATTGGGGGAGATGTTTGGGACTGCTATCGCACATACTACTTGTATATATTTTTTTTATTAACCGGTATATCCAACCCGTTATGCAACCCGACTAACTCCAGGGCGACCGCCTGCTTTGCAGATAGCCTGGTGTCATCGCATTTGAACCTCCGTGGCCACAAGGGGATTTTTATTTCTCCTTGAATTTGAACCTGGGACCTCCCGATACTTTTGACCTTTGGAGTCAAGCTCAAACCAACCAGACACCACCCTTATAGTTATTACTTGTATTTTTGCTCCCATGCATTATGTTCGAGTGGTATTTGTTGTGTCTTGCAATGAGGTGGGAACATATTAATACATTATGATACTCAAATAGGATGTCTATATCTAACTAACGAGGGAGATCCCAAGGAGGAAATCCACATAAACGTGCCCAAAAAGCGCATGGCTTCTTGTGAAAGAATATGGTTTTTAAATTGATCATCATCTAAAATGGCTTTTCATGGATTCCATTTTACTAAATATAATAAGTCACACACTTGATGATATAATAAAGAAAACCCTGAAGGGCTTAATGGTCGATAATACTACTTTACTTTATGATTGAAGGCCCTGTGTTGATAGCTTTCGATCAAAGTGCATGGCTCTGGTTCATTCAGCACCCTCCCCCTTATATATACAAACTAGGCAGAAGAGAAGGCACAAGAGAGGTATATGTAAGAAGAGAGATGGAATTCAAGAAATATTACCTCGACTTAATGATGGTACCTTTATCGTTTATGATATCTATTAGCTATCACCTTTGGTTATGGCATAAAGTTCGGACTCAACCACTCTCGACTGTTATTGGTGCAAATGCTCATGGACGTCGGTTGTGGGTATCTACCATTATGAAGGTAACTCTTATAGCTTGTTTTAAACACATCAGATTCTATGCCAATTTGGTTTTCTACCTTCTAGGTTGGTTTTTAAATGTCTTTCTAATCATCACTTGGCAGGATAACGAAAAGAAAAACATACTAGCCATCCAAACAATTCGTAACACAATCATGGGATCGACTCTAATGGCCACCACATCGATTGTTTTGTGCTGCGGTTTAGCAGCAGTTGTTAGTAGCAGCTATAGTGTTAAGAAGCCACTTAACGACACTATTTATGGGGCTCAAGGACAATTCATGGTGGCACTTAAGTACGTCACACTCCTTGTCCTCTTTCTCTTCTCGTTCATGTGTCACTCTCTATCTATCAGATTCATAAGCCAAGTGAATTTCCTAATTAATTGTCCGCAAGATTCGACATTGACTTCGACATACGTATCAGAGCTTTTAGAGAAGAGTTTCACACTTAGCATGATCGGAAACCGGCTTTTCTACTCGGCGCTTCCGGTTATGCTTTGGATTTTTGGGCCCGTGCTAGTTTTGTTGTGTTCTTCCACCATGGTGCCCGTGCTATACAATCTCGATTTATTGTTTGGAGATTCAAAGAATGGGAAGATGGTGAAATAGCAAACTGTGTTTTTGTTTGTAAGATTTACTGCCAGCATTGTTTACGAAACAATCGAGTATGTGTTCCCTTTCTTGAACGTAAAACGTATTTTGTTGTAATAACTTTGTATTGATCAATGTCGATTTCGTTAACAACAAACAAATATTGGTTTAAGGAATTGAATGACTGATATTAGTTTTGGTTCTTCCATTTCGTAAACAGAAACTGTCTCAAACTGTAGTCTCGAATCATGCATGATCTTCTATGCTCAAACTAGGGATGCACCATGTGCTAGGTTGCTAACTGGAAATCGAAACCAAATCCCAAAAATGACCGAGGATGAAAGCACTACAACAGATCTTTTTCCGGCTGTTTGGCAATTGCTGAATGGTAATGATTAAGGGAGATTCAGGATACAAAATCATTCAGAGGGTTTTAGAACCATTAAAAGACAGACTTTTTTTTTGCCCAACAAGATTCACCTCTTAACAATTCAAAGGTTGTCTCTTAATGAAACTGTTAAGAGGAAAACAAACGACCCATTTAGCCTAATGATCTTTGGGAGTAGTGCTTAATAGCACTTTTAAGTTACAAGACAAAAACCGCCTCTTATCAGCATTGCAATAACTTGTTGTCGAAACAAATTCTGTACATCAAGTTGTACAACTTAATAATACACAAAAATTAAGTAAATAATCATATTAATTTTTTATGGGTTTCTTTGAAAGGTGTCTTACATTACAAAACAATAGTTTTTTTTTTCCTCATGAACAAATCTGTCGGAATCCAACAGAAAACTCAATTTCAGGCGGATTTGTCAACCGGAAAACACTATTTCCGACGGCTTTTTGGCGGATCTCTTCTTTCCGACGGATACAACTACTACAAATCCGCCACAAATATTTTTCAAATTTCCCATTTTCTCAAATTAATCAAATGAATTAATAATTACGATTCCGGCAACCGGTAATATTTTAAGATTATTAATTTTTTTATTTAAAAATTATTGAATTACCGATGGATAAACCGTAGGAAATCCGCAAAAAAAAACTGCCATTAATTTATTTGCAATGAATTTAAAAAAACAAAATTACCGGCGGATAATCGGCCAAAAATTTGAGACTTCCAGAAAAAAAATCATGTTTTTGTTAGTTTTATAATATTAAAATACTGTAAATTAAAAAAAAATGCTAAACTAAATATTGCAAAAACTGTTAAAATACAACAATTAATTCCCAATACAATTGTCTGGCCCAATTAAATAGAATACACACTGTTCAACGAAATTAAAATACGATGATCCGGTGACAAGAATTCAAATACAACCAAGATATCAAACTTATTGTTGCGGGGTCGGTAGAAACTATTGAGATTGGGTAAACCTCTTCACCATGTCCATCATCTCTACATGCTCCTTCTATATATCGTCTTTCCTCTTCTGGATCTACTCTTCATGGAAAATTTTCTCATGCTCCCTCTTCCTTCTTCTTGATCTCCTCTTGACTGAGGAAATCTTGAAGTTGGGTCTATAACTTGTTAGTTACTTACAAATACAATAAAACGTTAGAATCTTTAATAAAACTTATAATTGTAATAGATAAACATCAAAGGATAAAGAGGTATACACATAGCCATCTGTAAGAGACGTGCACCACCGATTTTCCCGTGGGGATATCTCAAGCAAGACCCAATTAGGATCTTGGTTGCACCTGAACCTAAATCGACGACCTTTCTTGGGTTTTTCCAACCGCCTGATTCTACAAATCAGTGTCAACTAGGGAATAGATCGAGGCATCCTTGTTGTACTTTTTGGTGAGATTGGTTGAATAACTACCCTGTGGTTTAAGAAAATACTACAATCAATTTCGACAACATAACGATTGTAAAATAGACATTTCCAACTAAAATAATCCTAACATTTGTCCAATAAATAACAACCCAAACTATATATATAAGTAGGTTGCATTTGAAACAAACTCCCTCCCTCCCTCTCTCTCTCTCTCTCTCTATATATATATATATATATATATAGAGGGTGGTTCAAATACTAACCCATTTTTTTGTGTTAACTTTACTAACCAACATCAACCAATCACATTCTTTCTTTACTTTATGTTCAAATGTAACCTATAAATTGAATACAAGGGTTATTTTGTAATTTGACGTTTATGTAACTCCTTAATAATTATTTGGGAGTTACAATTGATCATGAGATAATTCCGATGTTCACGGTGTTCATATCTATGTAATGCCCATGAACATTCACCGTGTTCATATAAATGTTCACCGTGTTCATGCGATATTTTTACAAAAGTACCCTCTGAACCGCTGTTCATAGGCATCTCAATTAATATATTAATTAAATGATTATTTTTATACTCTCATTTAATAAGGACCGTTTGATGAGAAAATGAACGATCAAGATCGGGTTAACATAATTTGCACAATAGTTTTGGTTAGTATTTGAACCAGCCCCTATATATATAGATATATATATATATATATATATAGAGAGAGAGAGAGAGAGAGAGATGCTTATTTGAGAAGTCGTAAATATTTGAGAAGTAAAGAAGTGATCATAGCTCTTCACTTGGTCAATATTTGCAACTTTAACCATGAAGCACCGGATAATTACTCGCATGTGTATGTGGAAGATTGGGGTGTAGTTCCAAAACTTTTACAAATAAGCGTCAAACGAGTTCATATGTGAACCCATGTTATACATATATGAACTATATGTGAATCAGTTAATTAGTTCATATGTGAATCAAACAGGTTCATACGTGAATCAGTTAATTAGTTCATATGTGAATCACAAGGGTCTATATGTGAATCAGTTAATTAGTTTATATATGAATCACACGAGTTCATATGTGAAACAGTTACAATAGTTCATATGTGAATTACACGAGTTCACATATGAACATATAGTTCATATGTGAATCACATAAGTTCATACATGAATCCGTTTGCGTTCTATTTGTAAAAGTTACAAAATTATTTTCTCTATTTTCGCATAGCCGCAATTATTTACCAGTCAAAATCATAATTATTGACTAGTCAAAACTGTAATTATTAACCAGACAAAACTGTAATTATTAACCAGTCAAATCCGATCTTAACCGTATGAAAAGCTAGGATGACTTATTTACTTCTCAAATATTTACCACTTCTCAAAATAACCTTTAGCTATACATGCATATACATATATACACACACACACACACATATGGGCCTATTCAAGGGAGAACTGAGTTGTTTGTGGTAACTGTGAAAACCAATATTAACCACAAATCAATAGATAAATTAGAAAATTTATAAATTTGGTAATTTTAAATTAAAATCTTAATGCAAGGATATTTTTGGTATTTTAAAACTCTTCTCTCTTCTTTCTTCTCTCTTCTCTCTCCGGCCACCATTCTCCGGCCTCCGGCCACCGTCCTCCGGCCACCGTCCTCCGGCCACCGTCCTCCGGTGATACCACTATGATACCACTGTGATACCTAAAAATATTGACTCTGTTAAACAAAAGATACATTGTGATACCTAATCATATATAAGATGCATAGTGATACCACTGTGTTACATCTTCGATCGACCACATAAACGACATCAATGTGATACCCAAGCACATATATGATGCATTGTGATACCATTGTAGTATCATCGGAGGACGGTGGCTGGCGGACGGTGGCCGGAGAGAGAAGAGAGGAGGGAGGAAAGTTTTAAAATACCAAAAATATCCTTGCATTAATATTTTAATTCAAAATTGCCAAAATTATAAATTTCCTAATTTATCTATTGATTTGTGGATAATATTGGTTCTCACAGTTACCACAAACTAATTAGTTCTCATTTGATTAATCCCCTATATAGGGGCTTAATCAAATGAGAACTGATTAGTTTGTGGTAACTGTGAGGTCCAATCTCAACCACAAATCAACGGATAAATTAGGAAATTAATAAATATAGTTGTTTGAGTTAAAAATTATAATTAGATGATATATTAGGTATTTTAAAAAACTCTTCTCTCTTCTCTCCTCTCTCATCTCTCCGACCTCCAATCTCCAGCCTCCGGTGAAATCGGTATCACAATATATCACAATGAGTATCACATTGTGTATCTTTGTTTTTAAGGTTTGAGTTGGTATCATAGTTGGTATTACAATGGTATCATAGTATATGACAATGTGTATCACATTATGTATTTTTGTTTTTAAGGTTTGTGTGAACCGTGAGACTACTTTTTTACACTTGAAACTTTACAACAAAACACTGTTAAGGTAAATTTCACAATATTTTTGCTATGAAGGTTCGAATTTTTTTTACCTTCACAGTTTTTTGTTGTGAAGTTTTAAGTGTAAGAAGGTGGTTTCATGGGTCTCATGAAAACAGTCTAGTCTCATGCGAACCCAACCCTGTATATATGTGGGTTAAATTATGTGAGGACCAAAAAATATTAAGGACCTTGAGTACCAATCTTAGTTATTATGAATTTAATCTACAGCTATGAAAGACGATGACATTTTTATGATATTTTGAAATTTGAAATTAACTATTCGATAAATGGCAAGTTGAAAGGATATTCTATGCTTTTGACATCCAATCCATAGTCAACAGTAACGGCTATCAAAATTATATTAATTATAATAAAATTTTAAATAAAAAATATATATTAATTAAAATAAAGTTTTGAATCAAAAAATTTATATAAAATCTAACTTTTTTTTAATTAGATACGGGTATCATTATTTTTTACATTTTTTTAGTAATTGAAATTATTACATGAAACAATAAAAGTGATTTAACTTATATGTAATTTTACTTTGTGAAACAACATTTTAATATTTTACATCACATTTCACGTTATTTTTTGTTTCTTTTCACATGGCGAAACAACGGTATATTGTTTCACCATGTGAAACAGAACTACATTGTTTCACATTAGCAACATTATGTTCTTTCATAATATAAAACAACATTTTGGTGTTCACATCTCATTTTACGTCAACTTTTGTTTTATTTTCAAATTGTAAAACAATACCACATTGTTTCACCTTGTGAGATAACAATTTATTGCTTAACATTAACAACATTATATTGTTTCATAATAAGAAAGAACACTTTAGTGTTTCAGTTTCAGTTTCATAAGAATGTTTTATGTAATTGATCACATGTAGAATGTACGATTTTTGAGGGATCTGTAATAAATATATGTTATTTTGCAAGTCAGGGTTTGTATTGTGAAGAATTAGGGTTTAATCGAGAATCACAAATTAGCTAGGGTTTGTGATCACGAATCTTTTATCTCTTTCTTGAGTCAACACGTACGGAGGATTTGCGGATGAAATTAACCCTTTTGTTAGAAATAGGTCAAAGTCAACCTTCGTTTCAATTTTTGCAACAAATTCCTTCACAAACACGCTTAATTCTATCACTTAATTTTTGACATTCATATGTGAATCTATCCCTCTTACTATTCCTTCATAGGCAGAAATTCGTGAACGAATAGCATTGTGATGATATTGTCCTTCCGCAAGTGAATGATAGCTCACAAGTAGTCCATCATAACGAATTCAACCATACATGAGAGATTTACCAAAATGAAATGGTGTTTTATCATTTATCTATCTTAATTTATTACATATTTCTTGTTTTATTGATCGATTATCAGAGTTTACTCCATCCCACATATAAAACAAAAACTAATATCATCATCCACCAACGATACAACAACATATACAACAGAACCAAAAGAAAAGGAATGACAATTCAGGCTGAAATAGCTTTAATGTTTATATTATTTTAAAAAATTTGTGGAGGAGAATGGATGTTTGATGAAAGATGAGTGGATTTTCTGGTTCTCTAGTTTTTTCTAAAGAAAATTATAAGGTGTTTTCAAGTGGATTGCATTTGCATGGATGCCATTCAGCAAAATACATTAAGAAATATGGGACATAAAATACTCCAAAAAAGTATGTATAATGGCCAACACTAATGTGATCAAAGTGGAGGGATTTCTTTATGTTTTCAGAAACAATTAAGGGGTTGTCTTAATGAAATATATATGTAATAATAACCTTTTTTTTAATTAGTATAATAAATGTTTAATTCTCCCTATTTAATATATATGATTTTGAACCGTAACTTTTAAATCTTGTAACTATTAATAATACAAATATTAAGTTTTCAGTTATATTATATTTTTTATTATGCAAAAAATGACACATTAAAATCAATGCATGGGTTGAACCCTTCGACCAGGTAAAACGTTACGTAATAGAAAGTGATGAATGTGTATTAAAGTTGGTTTCAGTTATATTTGATTTTATTTTAGATACAATTTGTCTTTTTTTAACTAAATTGTATAAAGTTTTAACATGTGATTTTTTTTTTCTTCGTGAAATAGGTTACAAGGTGTTTATTTTTATTTTTTTTGATTAATCTGGATATCCAACCCGCTATGCAAGCCGACTAATTTTAAGACGACCACCTGCTTTGTAGATAGCCTAGAGTCAACGCATTTGAACCTCCGTGGCCACAAGAAGATTTTTATTTCTCATTGGATTTGAACCTGCAATCTCCAGGTACTTTTGACCTTCGGAGCTAAGCTCAAACCAATCAGTATGGTTGATGCTTATTTTTATGAAGAGAAATATTTTACCATTGACCAAAGTTTTCATGACTAGAAATTTAGAAGGCAACTGATTTTTAGGATTGTAATTAATTAAACCTTTTAAAATATGTACATTTTGCAATGTGACTACGTTTTCTTAACAATTTTGTTTTTGATTTTTTTTTTATTATTTTCATGACAATTTATTATAATAGCTTTGTATCATAAGGTTTTGATAATGTAATTAAATAGTTAAATAGGACTTTCGTGCATCATAGAACGCCAATTTTATTTATTTATAATATCTTCAGCTTTTAATTCATCTTTTTTTTTCCTCTAGGTTTTGAGAGCACTAATCAAATATTTTTTTATAATCAAATCAAGATAAAGTTATCAGCTTGATGACACCAATCAAGACTCTGTCTCGAGCCAGAGTCATAAATTCTATACCCAAAGAGGGAAGATCAAGATTACAATAAGAAAAATGTGAAACCAAATTCCAGGTCCACAATATTGCGGACGTAATGACATTTGGATAAAATCAGGAGAAAAATGACCAAGAGACCAATTTAAATTGACAGAATGACTATTTGAGTTAATTTTCTTATATACAACCTTTTTATTGTCTCTTTAATACAATTTTTAGAGGAAGTATACTCCCAACGTATATAAATATTAAATAGGAAGTGTCTAGTTGATTTATTACTTCAACATAGAGAACATTTTTATTGTAATTCTCTTGATTGGAATGCTTGGTGTATCAGCCTTTTAGAGACTTTGTTGTAAGTGCTAGCCTCTTGCTAGCCTTTGGTGGTTTTTAATAAATCTATTGTTTCTTAAAAAAAAAGAAACATTTTCAAACAACGACACAAAATAATTGACATAATATATAAATATATTAATTGTAAAAACTATCACTACAACAAAATCGGGTTTATAGGACACTCTCAAATTTTAAGTGTCTTAATAGACCTCTTTATAGGACTTAGTTTATATGATCAAAAAAATAAAGTGTCATATCTAAAGGTGTTGTAATAAGTTTATATGACGTTTTTTGATGTCATAATAAGTTTTTAGGACACTTTTAATAAAAAACGTCCCACTATCAACTTTATAGGACATTATTTGAAAAATTGTCTTATAAAAACAAATGTCCTATGAAAAATTGAGTTTATAGGACATTTTCTCAAAAGTGTCCTATAAAGTTGCTAATGCGACACTTTGTATTAAAAATGTTCTAAAAAACTTGTTAAGACGCCCAAAAACGTCATATAAACTTATTACAACACCTTTAGATAGAACGCTTTATATGTTGGTCCTATAAATTAAGTCCTATAAAACGGTCTATCGAGACGCTTAAAGATTGAGAGTGTCCTATAAACCCAATTTTGTTATAGTGTATGATTTATTAAAAATCATATATGCGGTTTCTTGCAACACCCACTTGGTTTATATTTTATTTTTCTACTGTTGTGACGAAAAATAAATAAAAGAAAACCAAAGGGATTTAAAATTGTAACCTTTAGTTTTTTTTTTCTATCTTATAACTAGGTCTGCCCCTGCTCCACCATGCTCACTTAAACGGAAGCTAGATACATCCTAAAATGGAGACACCCCGATGCTAAATGCTAACTTTAGTACCTCTCCGTTTACTACAATTAATTTGCGTTTTCAAATATAAAAAATTAATAAAATTTGGCTACTGTAACATTAACCTTTTATTACTGAAAGGGATAATGATAAAATAAAAAACTGTCCAATGTAGGTTTCCGTTTACTACAATTAATCTTTTAGTTACTTGTCCAAAGTTGCAACCATTATTCTGATGCCCCCACGCACCCACCCCACCCTATTATATACATCTATATATATATATATACATATGCGTACTAGCATATACTACATAACTTGTGTGAAGATTAGAAAACTAGAGAGAGATGGAATTCCATAAGAGTTATCTTGATTTAATACTGATACCTTTATCGTTCAGTATATCGATCGGGTATCATATTTGGTTATGGCATAAGATTCGAACTCAACCAGTCTCAACTGTTATCGGTGTCAATGCCCATGGACGTCGGTTATGGGTGTCCACCATCATGAAGGTACGTAATGTAACCACTCCAGATTTTTGATATTTGTCTTCAAAACACAGTTTTTATCTGTGTATGTAGTATCAAATGATTCAACATGCTAATTAAACGAATCGAATGATATGTAGATTTCAACCTTTGAGTTGGTTGATGACAATATATAACATGTATGGATGTCATTATGCATATATGTTTGTGTGTCTTCATATATGCAGGTTACGATTATTTGACTAACACGTTGCATAAACGTGTGATTGTACATGTTACCTCTACGTAACTATGTAAATGACATTTTATTAGTTTCATGTGTATATCAACGACAAACCAATTTTGTTTTGTACAACGATGTCGGCTCCTAGCTAAACTAACTTGCCAAGTACTTCAGAATACTTGCGAATATGATTAGGTTTGTCTTAAAGTGGTATTTTGATTTTTGGAAATTGTTATCAAAAGGGAAATTATATCAGTATCAATTTACTTTGTTTTAGTTCCTATTTTTTTAAAATGCATCCCCTATATTGCTAAATGACTACTTTCTGTTAATTTTCTACTCACATACATCAACATCAATACTCATTTTTTACATTTTCAATACATGATTTGACCTGATTTTAACATTATGATGGTGTAAATAATAATCCAGATATGTTTATAACATGACATCTCAAACAAAAAAGTTTAATAATGTTTTTCTTTTGACATTAATAGAGTTTTCATTAGAAGAATATTTGATAATAGTTATATCAATTAATTAGAACATGGTAAAATTAAAGGGTAAGTTGTATCAAAACCAACCTAATTTATTTTGGTTCTATCCAAGGAAAGTCTAGACATGGTCAAAAACGGGTCCTGGGCTGGGCCCAAATCGGTCCTATGTTGAAACAATAACAATTCGGACCGGTCCCGATCCCGATCCCATCGAAAATAGTAATTAGTCCCGGGTCGGACCAGACCTTGTTTTTGGATGAAAATCATAACCAGTCCTTAACCGACGGTCCCAAATCGATCCCAATCGGTTTTGGGCCGGGCTGGTCCCAGACCGGGCCTGAAACATTTGGCCATCTCGGGAGGAAACCTATTTGGGAAAACTCTCTTTTGTTGTCTACACAAAAATATTTTAAAACAAAAAAAAAGTAATTTTTGTGAAGTTAAAATATATTAATTTAATTGTATAAAAAACATAATTTGTTCCTTAACTACATTAAAAACATATACAATACATTTCCAGTATGTAGTTTTTGCATGTGTTAAAAATTGAAAAAGACCTTATTTCAATACATGGAATTCTATCTATACTAGTCTTAGAAAAACAATATAAATATAGGTCAAAGAACGTATGAGAGAGAGAGAGAGTTAAAATGAGAAGTCTAAGAAGATATTCAGACCCTCGATCACCTTAATCTCAATCATACCGTGAATCGTGTTTGATACATGATTGATCTAGTGCATCTCATCCTAATGTGCATCTAATGATGAAAATCTCTTCTTATGCTTCTCATTTTAGCTCTCATTCTCACCGGAATACAATCTTATGTATATATATATATATATATGGGTTCAAACGAGAACCCTTGTGATTTGCGAAAACACAAGAACAACCTATTAACCTCATACTGTGATAACAATAAAAATTAAAAGATTTTTTAAATTAAAAATAAAATTAGAACAATTCAAAAAAAAATTGAGAGGCAAAAAGGTAATATTGAAATTCAAAGTGATAAAATTTTAAAAACACGATCACACTAAACCCAATAATCTGGATAACATAATGGGCTATTATGGTTATCGCTTATTTCAACATGATTTAGTGTGATTTGGGTGTGATAATCATGTGATTATCACACAATTATTTCAAGGATTCCGCTCGGCTAGGGTTAACTTTGGAAATCGACTACCGATTTGGTGTGATATGGGTGTGATAATCATGTGATATCACTATCATAACAGCGCACTCGATTTGATCATGTTTTCGATCGGTTAGGGTTAGACAATTACACATTTATTATAACGATTACTCATGGTTTCGATAGGTTAGGATTAGACAATCACACATTTATCACAACGATTACGAGTGAAATCCACTAAACGATTTGGTGTGATATGAGTGTGATAATCATGTGATATCACTATTAGAACATCACTTGCGCACTCAATTTGATCATGGTTTCAATCGGTTAGGGTTAGACAATCACACATTTGTTGCAATGATTACTCATGTTTTCGATAGGTTATGGTTACACTCGATTGATCATGGTTTCAATAGGTTATGGTTACACAATCACACAATTATCACAAGGGAAGAGAAGAGAGTGGAAACGAACGTGATCAATCCAGGAAAAAAAATGATAATTATAATTAATTAAAATAAAATAAAAATTATAAAAATTACTTAATTACATTACTGTCCTTATTAATTTATTTATATTGAATATAAGTTAATTTATTAATTAAAAAGTTTGAGGTTATTGAGTTGTTTTCGTGCTCTCGTAAATCATAGGGGTTCTCGTTTGAACCTTCACATATATATATATATATATATATATATATATATATATATAACAAAATTGGGTGCAAATCTTAGTTGGAAGTAATATAAAAAGGTTCCCATTTGGTGAGACAACTTCGAGTGGGATTTTGAGGGTGTGAAGAGACGTTTATAATTGATTTAGTGTTCTGTGTAAAAGGAAAATCACACAATATTTTGTTTCATCTTTCATGTAAACCAACTATACGAGTTTCATAATCATAGCTAGTGAAGACAATTTTTTGCAATAAAATCTATATGTTTTAGTATAGGCTTACGCTCACGGGATCGGACCTTTACGACCTTCAACCAACTTATATCTATAAATTGTACGATCTTCACACTCTTTAAGAAATAAATAATTTCTTGTAAATGTTCAAATGATTGATTTTGATGCTTAATCACCGTTTTTCACATTCTTTTTATCATATTTTTGCAGGATAACGAAAAGAAAAATATTTTAGCCGTCCAAACAATCAGAAACACAATCATGGGATCAACCCTAATGGCCACAACATCTATACTTTTGTGCTCCGGTTTGGCTGCGGTTATCAGTAGTACATACAGCGTTAAGAAACCACTTAACGACACCATTTATGGGGCACATGGAGAATTCATGGTGTCACTGAAGTATGTAACGCTCCTCGTTCTCTTTCTCTTCTCTTTCATGTGCCATTCTCTATCAATTAGATTCATAAGTCAAGTGAATTACTTGATCAATTGCTCACAAGATTCAACAGTAGTGACTTCTACATACGTATCAGAGCTTTTAGAGAAGAGCTCCGCACTTAATGCAATAGGAAACCGCATTTTTTACTCAGCGCTTCCGGTTGTTCTTTGGATTTTTGGTCCGGTGCTTGTGTTCTTATGTTCTTTGACCATGGTGCCCGTGCTTTATAATCTTGATATCTTGAATGGAGATTCGAAGAAGGGAAGGACAAGTGATATAGGAAATGAGGTGTGATATGTTGATTTCCGAAATTGTATTTTTGTTTGTATAATTTATTCTCGTTATTTATGAAGCTTAGGTGTAGTTTATCAAATGCTTAATCACATGGTAAGTGTTTACTGGCAATAGTTAGTACTCGCATTTACCATGTCAGATAACATTCTCGGTTAATTAAAAGTGGATTATTTGTAAGATTTTCTTACCTGGTAAATGCTAACCGAGTAAGAGTCTTCTCCTTTAGCCGGTAAGAACTTCGGTTGTTGTTATGCCTCTTACCGGATAAAATTAAGCAGTCCTTACCAAGCTCACCTGATAAGGCGTTTGGTTAACAACGGCCTCTTAGTATATATCTTATTCATGATCAGTAGAAGATGGATTTGTAGTTTGGTGAACCTAGCCATATCTTCATTTTGAATAACATACTTGTTCCTTATTAAATTATATTTATTAGAGTTAATTATGGATTTGGTTCCCGTGGTTTGTTGGATTTTATGAAGATAGTCCCTAAACTTTATTTATTACAGATTATGACTCGTCCTATGTCATTTTGTAACGAGTTGGTTCCTCACTCTAACGGTCATCCAAGACATATGTTAACTGTAAGGGTGTTTCCATCATTTTCCCCTTTTCTTTATTTTAATGTTAGTTTTTTTTCTCTTTCTATAGAACCCCCAAACTTTAGGGCCACATTGTAGTTAACCATATCTCTCTCGCCTCTATCTCTTTCATGACCAATGTGAACCCACCCTGCTCCGCCATGAACCCACACCCCGACGTGACCTCCACCCAGCTCCGACGAACCCCACCACAATCATTCACCACCCCCTTCTCCCTTAGGTGATCATCACCAATATCTCACCTCGTCTGTTGATCCCCCTCAAGACGAGTCTGCTTTCACGGCCTCCATCTCTGTCGAGATTCCCATCTGCCAGTCACCGCCACCAATCTCCTACACACACCCATACCCACACCTAGAGAGCATACACACCCAACTTGATCCGATCTCCATCTCCAACATCTCTGGTCAACGGTGAACCCCCCCATACACCTCTTTATCTCTATTGAGTGAGTGTGTATATTGTCTCTCTGTATGTGTGTGCGATAGGATGGTGGTGGTGGTGGTTTGAGTTTGACAGTTGGCGACTGGTTTCGAAGGTGGTTGTTACTAGGGGAGGTCACACCAATTGTTATCGGGAGAGGTTACCAAATGGGGTGGGTTCATGTTGTTACGGGAGAAAGAAATACACGTAGAGAAATTGGACGGGTTCATGTTCATGTTCACTAGACGCCATATGAGGTGGGTTCATGTTGACTGGACGCACAGGAATAACTGATTGTAATTGGTCCTTATAAAATAAGAAAAAGACAAAAATTAAAAAAGTCAAAAAAGTAAAAACAAAAAATAAATTAATGTTAAAAAGGTAAAAACAGTCAATGACAGAACCACCCTTAATTCTAACATATGAAGTGGATGAACTTTAAAGTAAGGGACCAATGACATACAACAAGTTCTAATTTATAATAAATGAAGTTTAAGGACCATTTTTATAAAACCTAACAAACCATAGGAACCAAATCCATAATTAACTCTTATTATTATTATTTTGTAAATACAGAAGAAAACATATTACTACAATTTTGGAAATAAAAATAAGATTATTTTGAAAAAAAAATAATTTTTTTATTTAAGTTGTCATACCATAAATATTAAAATTGTGTTTTAAAAAATATGTTTTTTCAAATATGAACCAAAAACAAAATAATGTAATTAGTTTGTCATATGCTAAAAATAAACTCTAATTTGGCATTTAGTGAGAGGCCACATAAAAGTCGTCATCGCACTCACCACAAAGAAATCACAAAAACTTAAATGGCTACTCTAACGGTCTAACTTTAGAGGGATGGTGAACCCAACTAAGAGAACAAGACATTAGAAGATCCAGCTTAGGGTTGTTTGGTAGTTGCTAAATGATTAGATGTAAAATAATTAAGTAGTTAGAATTGAATGATAAATAGGCTGTCATGATATAATACAAAATGTAATAATTGTTTGGTAATTGTTTACAATGAAATTAGAGCGCTAAATGATTAAAGGAGACACATGATGCACAATCATTCAGATGATTTTAGAACCATTAAGCAGAAAACTTTTTTTTTTGCCAAATAAGAACCTCTTAACAATTTAGCGGCTGCATCTTAATAGAACTATTAAGAAGTAAACAAATAACCCTATAGAAGAGGTGCTAAATCAACATCCTAAGTGCTTGTTGTAGAAATGTTATTACAATAAGATTGGTTTTATAGGAACATAAATATGATTAAATGTTTAAATAAATTGTTTTATATACATGATTTAGATTTGTATGACCGAATAATTGGACATTCTATTTAAATGTGTTAAGAGTACCTTCATAGGTCACTTTTGGATATTCTAACAAGTTTTCAGGACACTTTTTGAAATAAACTATAATAATAGCTTTTTAATAGTACAATTTTGAGAAGTATCATATAAAAGTATATTTTTATAAGACATAGGTTTTTATATGACAAATTTTCAAATATTGTCGTATAAAACGACTAATGAGATGCTTTATTTCAAAAATGTATCATAAAATTTGTTAAGACGCCGAAAAGTGTCTAATCAACTTGGTCTTATAAATCAGTCTATTAGGATATTTAAAAATATTTGTAGTCGGTGTTTTATGTTTGGAATATTGGTTTTATGAGCCAATTCCTTATTCTTCTGCTTCATATACATTCCAATATCCATGAAATATGTATAAAAATGGATTGACGTTGATCGAAGCTACTAAAATAAACGATCATATTGTTGTTTTGCAAGTTTATCAGGAAAAAAAAATATTTTTCAGGCTATTCAATTCGAAAGCAATCATCAACGATCATGGTTCGCATTTTACAAAATCTGAAATTTGGTTAACTACCAAACACTATGATGTTAATCACCAAATTGCCATCCCTTATCAACATAACATCCGTAAATTTTGGGATTTCGTTTCGGGTCGGTTATAATTTCATCAGTGTAGAAATTGGTGTCTTTATAGAGTTTAATTGTATTAATCACCTTTGCATGTTTGAAGATAAAAAAAATTAACTAGAATTTTGAACAAGTTTGGAGGCCACAAAACCTGGTGTGCGACCTTGGTAACAACCAAGGCCGCACATGATGCTGGAAACAAGGTAGTGGCATAGGAAACTTGGCCTACAACCTTAGTCGTGTGAAACACTAGAAATGACCTAGAAGACGCTGGGTGACTTGCCCTACGACCTAAGTTGCGGGGAAAGTCGTAGTAAAGCATCTAGATCACGTAAATGGGTTTTTCCACCTAGGGTTTACTCATCTACTCCTTTCGAATCTTCTCTCTTCATTAAAAACGGTGGTTGTAGCCATAAAATCATATTTCAAGGGGTTTTAAGGGCATTTAAAGCTAATAATTCAAGTTTAATCAAAGCTTTAAGTTTCTCTATGTAGATCCAAAGAGTTGTTTGGTTTTCTAGGTTTAGTTTAAAAACCTAGCAAGGTAAGTTCAGTCCATTTTTCCAAAACAATCTACAAGTCAAAATGTGTGTCTGTATTTAAGTCTTTAAATGTTTCTTCATGATTGCTACAACAAATTTATGATTATTTAGCATATTGACATTAATTGGGGCTTTTAGTAATGTAAAATGTTGTAAGATGCTTATGTTGGGTAATGAACTCCTTTGGCATGGAATTTAAAAGATTTTTTGGTAAAATGTTGAGTTGGTCCTCAAAATGTTGGTTTATTAAACTTTTTATACTCTAAAATGTGGGTTTTTATAAACGGGGTTAGAAATACATTTTATCGATTTAGATTAACTCACACAGGACACTCTTTCGATTTGGAGTTTTTCTTGGAAATGAAGGTGCATTTATTGGGATATAAAGAGTGCCCATTAACTCGTATTGGATGTCCTTATGGTTTGGAGTTTTTTATATATTGGAAACGAAGTTACATCTATTAGGACATTGAAAGTGCCCAAAATTTGGTTATCCAAAAATGGGAACGGTTGGTCCTAGACGAATCTACAAAAGTTTAGAGGTAACAATTTGTAAAAGGAGAGGAGGGGGAGATGAATACAAACACAACAGTTTTCATTTTTTAAAATCCTTTATTGATAAATAAGATCAATACAAAACTTACAGACTGTTTACGGAATAAGATAAGATACAAAACATATCTAAAACAATCTAGGGAACACACAAGATACTGAAATCAAGAAAGAAAAGATTGCTAAAAGAAGAAACAATAACTTCGCTAAAGGAAGAGCTTAGTTGGTGTTCTTCACTTGAACTAAAGATAACTTTGAAATATAAAGACGTTTGTGCTTGTGAGGAAGTCCGTTTTTGAGTAGAAAGTTGATCTTCAAGATATAAGCCTTTTTGGCTTCTTGGTATCTTGGTAGTGAGAATGAGAAGTTTTTCAACTATTTATACCCATTGAATTAAATGCAAGTCAGACAGTACAAGACACGTGACAAGCTTCTAGAGGTGAATTTTTCCTTTGACTTCAGATATATAGACTTTTGTCGTATATGAACAGTAGTCTTTCACAAAGTAGGTAAATACGTTTGGAGACAACAGAGTGACTCCATTCAAGTGCTTTATTTTGAGAGGTTGAGTTTGTCCTTTGTGTGTAGGAGGATAAAACAAAAACTAATCTTGGTCAACAAGATTCATTTGATCGTTGACACCGGAATAACACTAAGATTTTTTCAATGTATGTTGAATCTTGACTAGATTTGACACATTTGTAGACAAACTTGTTATCACTGAAACCACATCATATCACGAACTTCTTGTCTCTGTCTTCAGATTTATTTTTGATATCACTGAAGGTTCTTGTGGTGTGGGTTTTGTCTTCTTAAAGAATACTTGTCTCTAAGAGATACAATACTTGTTCAACGATCACTTAATAGACTCGATGATGATCGCTAAATTGAATAAAGAGAAAGTACTTTTTGTAAGATAAAAAAGATCATCATCAACCTACTGAGAGAGATGATCAACAATTTCCCCTTACTTGATGATGACAAAACAACATAAAGAAAATTGCTTAGGTATTAAAGTAAGGAAAATGTACTAGTAAAATATATGTCCCTTTTTATTGTTTTGAAATCTTTTTCAGTGGTAAAGTTTATTATGAAAATTTACTTTAATTGTAAATGATTACAAGAAAAGAATAAACTTTCATAATATGAATAACTTAATACTGAGAGCATCGTCACTGACAAGAAGAGTGTCAGAGAATGTGATAAATAAATAAAATTCATAAGTACATGTCCCATTAACTTTTTTGAGAAATCTTTTTTAGTGAACCAATAATTTTATTGATAATATCCTTAAAGACAAAATATTACAAATGATTACAATTTGTTTTGGTAGGCTTAAAACATAAAAGCTACACACTGAAAAATTGCTACAACAAGGGACTATACAGTGATTTTGTAGGCTACTCGGAAATATTTCAGTGAATCTTCGTGATTTTCTCCTCCTCCTTTACAACCGGCCTCTGTTGCAATTTACAGATCTAATAGTACTAGATTGATTCCAAATCTTTGTACTCTCTTTCGAACATCATGAATTGTCATTTATGTTTTGTAAAAGTTGAATAAAATCTTTATCTTTTGGTCTTTGTATTCCATTTTTCTAGTATATAAAGGAGGGGGTATTGGACACTTTTAGGAAGCAAGTTATTAGTTACAAATTCAGCTCCAACTTCACTTGAGAAACATCTTTTATTCACTCTAATTTCAATGAAGCATTAAGTATTACATTCTCTTATTTATTGTAATTTCCATTATTGTCTTTGTATTTTTGTACTTACTCTCCTTTAATAGTTTTTATCTTTTATGCAATTAGTTTTCTCATTGCAAGTATGGTAAGGTAAATACATAGGTTAGGTGTGGGTTAAAAATAAAACTAAAAACAAATTTTTGGTGGTGAAAGTTGTTAATTAAATAACAAATCTTTCTAACGAGTGGTTTCAAGTATATATTACAAAACAATATCTATAGATACGTTGACCACTTGATTAAAAGAGTTAAAGTGTGTTGCACTTAGAGATAAGTCAACACGCACGTCAATTTGAATGATATGGAGGTAGACTCGAGATATTTAGAATTGAATGACTTGTTTTCATTCCATTTAGTTTGTATAGGAAATGTTATGAGCCATTATCTAGATTCTAGCCTTACATAGAGATATGAACGTTACGTCTATGAATATGTGTCATTATAAATTTCGAGAGAGTACCTTAAAGAATCTATTAGTTGGTTAAGACGAGTTATTTGTTGAACATGCTACAACACCATGCTATAACATTCTGCAACTTGGGTTGAATATCATAGCGGATCCCTTTAATTATTTGTCCACATTAGTAGTTATAAACCACCTCATCAAAAATATTTCTTCAACTTCGCCATCTGAAATCATTTCTTTTATTAAACTTTTAATGAACTTTCAGTCTTCATGGACGATATTCGGTATTTTACCATCATAATACTTGTGAAAGATGATATTGGACGATTTTGTATACTTGCATTTGATTTCCAATTATCCTATCGAGGGCGCATAAACCTCACTAACAGAGTGTCACAATCATCCATAAAACAAGTGGTCATATTGAGATATCAAACAAAGAGATAAACGAAGTTTTAAAGAAAATCATACAACATGATCAAAAAGTCTCATTTTGTTAACCATATGATATGGTTTAGGTCTATCAGACAACTTATAGAACTCTTATGCGGGCTATGCACACTTTTGAGTAATGGTGACGCGTCTCAACTTTGTAGTTCAAGCTAGTTTTTGCATGACTTATTGTTGGATATAATACACCATAGACGTGGGCGGAGCCAACATAGGCTCGGGGTCAGCCTCTACACCCATCCTCAGTTTACAAAAAAGAAGTATAGCCAAAATCGCTTTTTCTATGTAGTCGAGTCCACCAATCCAAGTCTCACCTCATACATAAAAGAAGCTCTCTCCCTGTACGACTCCGATCCAACGTGAATCCCATTCTTGCTTCGTGCTCATCGCTAGCCTCTTGTTGCTCTGCTTCTGCATGCGGTTCTACCTCAGTCAAAATTCACACACTCGTGCTCCTTTTCACCGTGTCACCTCTTGCATCTGACCTCTCCTTAAGTTCATATTTGATATTTCTAGGGTTTTGGTGATAGGTTCAAGATATCGCTCCTTGAGAGTAAAGACTTGAGTAATTGGAATGTGCTTTTATGCTTCTGTTTTCTTGATTCTTGAATGTGACAATATGACATGTTGGAAATTGGAATATGCTTATATGCATGCTTCTGCTATAGTTATATATATATATATATATATATATTCTCACACTACTAAAAAATCTGGTTTTTCCGACAGCAAAATCCGTCGGAAAAACAACTTTCCGACGGATTTTGCCGTCGGAAAAACCCCCACCGCTAAATGCATTTTCCGACGGAATTTCCGACGGATTTGTATTTTCCGACAAATATGTCCGTCGGAAATCCGTCGTGCAATTTTATAATATGTTAGTAATTGTCCAGGTTAATTAGAAGTAATCTAAAATGAAATTAGATTTACCGACGGAAATCCGTCGGTAAACTTTTTCTATTTTCTTCAAAAATATTAACCGGTTTTTATTTCAAAAATAAAAAATAGCATTTTGTCCGACGGAAATTCCGTCGGTAATTATATTTTAAATTTTTTTAATTATAAATATGAAAATATTTTTATTTTTAATGGACGGAAAATATTTACCGACGGATTTTTCTGTCAGAAAATCCGTCGGAAATTTTTTAAATAAAACTTATATCTAATTATTTACCGACGGATTTTCTGCCAAAAATCCGTCGGAAATTTAGCTGGTACAGGAAAAAAAACCAAAATACCAAAATATAAAATCCTAAAATATAAATATCCTGTAATTAAATACAAATATATAATACGCAAATATGTCATAAATACCTAATATGATTATCCGGACGAAATAATATACATATATAAATTCGACTAATGACGCTAGTTCATTAATGCACTATATTAAATCTATAGCGGCGGGGTAGGTGGAAACTGTTGAGATTGTGTAARCTTCTTCATCATATCCATCATGTCTGCATGCTCTTTCTTCCGGATCTCATCTTCCCTGTTTCGGATCTCATTTTCCCTGTTTCGGATCTCTTCTCGGCGAAGAAGTTCTTCAACCTCCTTCTGTCGAATCTCATTTCGGCGAATAAGATCCTCAACCTCCTTCTGTCGGATCTCATCTCGAGTGCGCATTTCTTCAATTTGGGATTGTAAGTAGTTAATTAACTACAAATACAATAAAACGTTAAAATTTCTAATAAGAAGTATAAATGAAATAAATAAACATCAAAGGATAAAAAGGTACATAGATGACTATCTACATTAGGCAATCCACTCGAGTTTGCTTGTGAGGATGTCCCGGTCAAGACCAAATTGGGATCTTCATTGTACCCGAACCCAAATAGACGGCCTTTCTTGGATCCCCCAACCGCCTCATTCCACAAGTCAGTATCAACTAGGGGATATGCCGAGGGATCCTCACCGTACTTTTCGGTGAGATTGTTTGAATAGGTATCCTGTGGTTTAAAAAAATACTACCAGTCAATTTCGGCAGTATAACGACTATAAATGGAACGTTTCCAACTAAAACAATCCTAACGTTTGCTCAACAAATGGCAACCCAAACTATATATATTAACATTCTAACTTAAACAATCCTAACGTTTGCCCAACAAATGGCAACCCAAACTAGATAGAAATATATATCACACACATATACACTAACATTTTAACTTAAATAATCCTAACGTTTCTCCAACATGCGACAACCCAATATAGAGTTTGAAGTTATATATAGGTATTGTAAACTTACCGCAACCCGGCTACACCTCGAAGTCACGTACTCCCCTCGTGACCCGCAACCCGAAGATGACTCAGTACTCGATCTCTTCTTATGCGTGTGATCGAAGAGTTCCACAGCGGACGGTGGCACGCCATTTTTTGCCTTCGTCTACATAGTAGCAAGTAATAAAAAATGTGTTAATTGTATCATATTAAAAATCAAACAACTAAAGTAATCGATATTAAGGACCTACCAGGCGAGCACCATGCATGGCGAATGTGATCGATCCGCCTATGTGTTTGGCTATATCACCTTCCACCATAGTCATTCGGTTATCATGTGCCGCCTTGGAAACTGCACCCTTCTAATGGGGCGTGTTCCAGCGATCAATCATCTCGCACCAGATACGAGGATCGAGCCACTTAGGGTGGAAGCCCTTTAACATATTCATATCCCTATTAGGGTCGTTTTCTACATAGGGCATCGATTGACTTCTGGCTATTTCTCCTGCCCTTCTCCTTGCAGAATTCATGCCATCATTGTAGTTTTTGGCACCTCGGGTCTCCCATATCTGCAGCATCTTGGCGTCCAGTGATAAATCCCAACAATAGTACCCCTATACATAAAAGATTAGTTGCTTGTTGACTTAAAAATAAAACTAGCAAAAATATAACAAGTTAAAAGAATACTACAAACCTGGAAATGCTCCCACATCCGTGTCTTCACCTCCTTAGGGATTTTCGACCACGTGCACCATGGCCCCTTAATCATTGATCGAATAATCTGAGTCAAATGACGGGTCGCATGGATGTTGTTAAACCTGTTTAATGAGTTGAATTAGTATTGATACCCAAAAATAATTAATTTAATTAATTAGTTAATATAACACTTACTCGTTGGATGTAACACCAATCCTCGTTCTCTCGGCTGGAAGATGTTCTGGAGCATTGATGCCACGGACATTTGCAGACTCAAACTCATCTTCTTGTACAGAAGCACTACTAGATCATGGAGTAGGTGTAGGTTGGCTAGTAATAGGTCGGTTAGGTGTAGCAGTTCCTGGAGTAGGTGTAGGTTGGCCAACAATAGGTCGGCTAGGTGTAGCAGTAGATGGAGTAGGTGTAGGTTGGCCAACAATAGGTCGGCTAGGTGTAGCAGTAGATGGAGTAGGTGTAGGTTGGCCAACAATAGGTCGGCTAGGTGTAGCAGTAGATGGAGTAGGTGTAGGTCGGCTAGGTGTAGCAGTAGATGGAGTAGGTGTAGGTCGGCTAGGTGTAGCAGTAGATGGAGTAGGTGTAGGTCGGCTAGGTGTAGCAGTAGATGGAGTAGGTGTAGCAGTAGATGGGGACGGAGTACCTGTAGAATCGCCCCTACCTCCTCCATGCCAAATACGCGGCACACTGTAATAAGTCTACAAAAAAGGGGTTATTAAAACAATTTAGATTTAAAAGATAAATTCACAAAGATAACATATAGACGAGTACACATGTAAACAAAGTTTATTAACACTAAAGTCAACCTAGTATTTAATCATCTGATGAGTGATCAGACAAGTCAGGTTCTTCTTCATCTGAGTCAGTATCTGAGTCTTCAAAATCTTGTTCGTCACTACTGTCGTCAACATG